GCATATCTATTCTGCTTTCTTCGCTGGAGAATTCTCATTCTTTCAGCTTTAGTTTTAGATGCGGTTTCCACATTCCCTTGTTTTCCCTCTCTGCAATTTGAAATGCTACAGCTTTCTTTACATCAGTTTATATTAACAGCTAGTCACTTTGGGGTAATTTATAACTCCAGTTTTAAAAGAATGGAAGACTAGTTATCTTATAAGACTGAGCATGAAATACTAGGGAATCTTTCCCCTGGGATCATGATTTTGAATCCAGCCCAGGTTGTTAGCAACTGAAATAAGTGGAAGTTGCTTGCCCAAGATCCAGCCATCTATTTGATGTACTGTTATATTTGTGGATACAATAACTTAATAATTTAACTTGATTCTGCAACAAGACTGACTCTTGTTTCTACCTTGCTAAATTCTCTAGGGCTAAAGGTCATCTCCATGGATTATTCTTTGATAATGAGTAGAATGTTTACAAAAGAGTCATGTTAGGCCCCCTCTACACGTTACATGTATAACACTATTAACTGGTTAATTGCACAAGTACTTCAGACTAGCTACATGTGCAAATTAACTATCATACCATAAAAGGTCCATCCAGCTGGAAATTTAGGGCTGGAAAATATGTAATACCTCTGTAGGTTTCTATCCAGCCTCAATTTGCATGTATAGCAAGCTGCCCCCTCGGTTTGGCATGGCAAGAGGCGCCATTGTGTGGGTCACATATCAGATCCTATCATGCCTTTACCTGAATGTCTAGAGGGGCCAATTAGATTCTATTTCCTCCTTTATTATAGTCTAGTATTACAGGTGCCATAGTATTTGAAATAAATATTTAATGTTTATTAAATGTTTAATTTCCATGCTTAATATTTATAATTATAACATATATATTAAAGTGTTTTAAATAAGTATTTAAATTGTCATTTAAATCACAATATAAGGGAAAATAGGTTAAAAAATAGCACTTATTAGGCCCACAAGTACTGAAGTAAAACTAGTGCACAAAAATCCATGTTAGAAGCAGCAAATGTTGCTGCATATACATAGCATAGCTGACACATACCCAGGAAAAGCAAAAAAACAAATAAACAGCATACCTCAACCATCTTATTCTAGATATCCTATATACCTCTACCCACAGAAATACACCTTTATCTTTACCATGATTTCTCTGTGTGGCAAACAGCAAAGCACAACTTCAGCTCCCTCCAATGTTTCCTTTCTACACATACCACTTTACTAAATAATTTGTTCTGAATGGTATTTATTATTGGTGTTTGTAATAGCTCGTCAAGTTGGAAGAGGGTTGTGGAGCAAAAGGAGACCTTGGTCCCTTGGAGATAGATGCCAGAGTCAGATTATGGCATTTATTCTCTTTTATATATATATAGTAAGGTGTGTGCCTATATGTTAAGGAGTTAAGAGCAGGGGCACCAAATATATGGTGGGCCAGGAAATTCAGAGGTTGAGCCAGTGGTGGGGTGGAATCTGCCATAGACTCCAGGGCTGCAGGGTTCCACTAGGCATGGCTGTCAGTGACATTGGGGTGAGAGAAGGCTGAGCCAAGACAGCCCCACTTGGCCCAAAGCCACTTGCCCCTCTACCTCCGTGACTGGCCTTGCCAATGGTTGCCCCACTCTTGCCTGGTCTCATGATCAGAGGTCAAGGAAGCAGACCCTACGATGACAGGCTGAGAGCCCTGGGGCTCTTTAGCCTGAAAAAGCGCAGGCTCAGGGGTGATCTGATGGCCACCTACAAGTTTATCAGGGGTGACCACCAGTATCTGGGGGAACGTTTGTTCACCAGAGCGCCCCAAGGGATGACGAGGTCAAATGGTCACAAACTACTTCAAGATCGTTTCAGGCTAGACATAAGGAAGAATTTCTTTACTGTCCGAGCCCCCAAGGTCTGGAACAGCCTGCCACCGGAGGTGGTTCAAGCGCCTTCATTGAACACCTTCAAGATGAAACTGGATGCTCATCTTGCTGGGATCCTATGACCCCAGCTGACTTCCTGCCCTTTGGGCAGGGGGCTGGACTCGATGATCTTCCGAGGTCCCTTCCAGCCCTAATATCTATGAAAAATCTATGAAAATCCGGCCCTCAAGGAGCCCCATGGGGTGGCTTTGTGTAACATTCCTAAGTAACTACTTCACAGTAAAGATTTTTGGGTCTAATCTAACCATAAATTTGCCAGGGTAGGCAGGATTATCAGGGGCTTTAATATATTTTTTTTATTTTTGTTTTTTTCTTTATGGCTTGTTTCTTGAATTTCTTATATTTTTAGTAGAGGTTGCTGTTTGGCAGGGAGGTCGAGCCTGAAGTGAGTTGTAGTCCAGATACTGACAGTAGGTACGCGTGAGCCCTTGTATCATCAATGCTACAAATTCCTCTGCGTTGTCAGGATAAACTGGCTTTTGCATTTGGCTCAGGTCTGTCAGACTTGTATTCATCTAGCCCCAAACAATTGAGTATATAGGCAAAGCACAGAGAACTGCCAAAAAAATTATCCTTAGTTAACCATCTTAAACAATTATCTGTTGCATCAGATCTAGTCTGGTATCATCTCTGCCAAGTTCTGTGGATATGGATATCTGTAGATAAATGAAAAGGACTGCTGCCACGCCATACATTCAGCCACACACTAATTTCAAAGGGTTTAAAAAGTATGAAGAGATTCTACCTTTGAAAGTTCAGAGATTAAAGAAACTAAATTTCGTATGAGTTTGTTTCCTTGTTTTAGCTTAAGTGCCTTCATTTTTTCTGACTGAAATAGCCTGCAGCTCTTACTACATAGCAAGTAACCAGACTGAGTTTTTTTTTCTGTAATAAACAAAATGCCTCAGCTTTGAAGTATAAATTAGATGCTAATTGTACCAACCAGTGCCACAGACAGCATGTCTACGTGTGTATTACTGTGCTTTTACTAATGTGCATTAAATTTAGTACTTCCGGGTGCCTATACATGAGCAGGGAGGCTGCTCCAACATGCTGGAATTCCAGTGCATCAGAGAAGACTCAATTAATCGAGCCTGCTGAAGCATGGCAATTACCGCACTCAGCAGCCTCCTGCGTCTCGTGTATCAGCATCCCCACCCTTAAAAATGGTGGCAGGGATACTTAAACTAAAGCTTGTTGAACATGCTTTAGTTTAAGTGCCCCCGCCACCATTTTTAAGCATGGGGACACTGAAACACGAGATACAACAGCAGTTTAATTTAGAGCAGCTCTTGGAGCCCATCCCCGGAGCGTATATAAAAGTGTCCTCCAATGTGTACCCCTAATGCGCAGTAGTGAAAATCATTGCTTTTTTAATGACACTTAACGTGCAGTTGCCTATTTTACTATGTTTTAGCATATTTGCCTGGTTTTTTATGCAGTGCTTTAAATGTGCAATAAAATAGGCTTTACATTTCAGCAGACAAGAAGGATAGATTATCAACTGGGTCTAAACAACCCCTAAGTACAGAAACTTATCAGGCATATTCCTGTTATAGGAACAATAATTAATATATCTCTATCTAATAACCAAATATTTGGGTTACTTGTGAATTTCAGTGTTTACGTTGTTAACTATATAGCTGAATAGTGAATTGATCAGCCATGAAAATGTTTTTTCATGTAAACCCAAGCTGCCTCATACCTCCTTGTTAACTATTCAACTGTAAAAGTCTTCAGTTTCTATTCCACTTATTTTTTCAATAGAAAATTATGCAGCATTTTGAAACATTTAAATATTGGGAATCAGCAAAAGATCAAATTAAGTTTTCCCCCTCCCCCCGCACCCCCAGTCACAGACCCTGCATCTCCCTGAAGACATGGAAGTGAACGACAAATTTTAAAACACTGACTTTGAAATAAATATGCTTGTAGTAATTTGCATATAGGCAAATTACTGTGAGTAACCAGTTTACCTATTTACTATGTAGTATAAACTATGCATGATATTAGTCCAAAACCAAAAGGTTTATGATTTACTATTCAGTTCATTGGGCTGGGCCCCAGCAGAGTCGACAGCATCTCAAGCCATGGTGACCCCACAGCTCAGCACTGCTCAATATATGTGTATGCTCCAGCTACCCCCCCACAAAGGATCCATGTGCCAATTAGCCACCCTACTCATGGCAGGTGTCCTTGTCACAAGTCCTGAGATCCTCCAAAAATGTATATGCAGATGAGCTGCATGGCGATCTGGTCTGGTTCCACCTCATGGAGGGCAGGGCCACACTAATCATATGCAACAGGCTGAGAGAGGGGGGCAATAGAGGGATCCTGGGTGAACTGTTTGGAGCCCAGTTTGGTGATGTTTGCTAGACACTTAAGGCTGGTGAAGAAACAGGACTTGTTGGAAATGGGAAAAGAAAGGCACAGCTCAGCTGTGGGAGTGAAGAGGAAGTCAAAATGTAGTCAGTATAGTGGCTCACCATGACTTGAAAAACAGTCAGTGCTGAGGGGGACTAACAGCAATAGACACTACCATATATTTTATTCAGATGGAGCGTATTAGGTTCCCTTCTTGTGTTTTATAGCCAGGCTCTGTGTTGGTTGCATTTAAACAACTTCATAATTGATTTCCATTAGTGAACATAGTAGCTTTTTGGCAGCAGCTTAATGGTAGACAGTGTACTTTAATGAGGCTTCCTTATATGCAAATAGATGCAAAATGTTTTTCCCCATGCTGATTGAGGGGAAAAAACCCTGTCTTATAATTGAATAAATACAGTAGTTCTTTCCTTAGTGTACAGACACTTGGCTTCTCTTAATGTATAGTCACACCAATAACATGGGGCTATATCTTTAAAAAATATATTTAGGATTCTTGTGTTTTTCCTTTAATCTAATTCTGC